TCCACTGGTCTGTCAGTAGCCATGCTCACACAGAAGAACTAGAAGGACTTACAGCTAGAATATACGACTGTACTGGGGCTTTGAGGAGGAAAAAAAGAGAAAGATTGGCAACAGATGTTAGCTCGGGGTGAATCTTTCCCAGCAAAAAAAAAAAAATAATAAAAAAATTATTAGCTATGTCAAACATATCGAAAAGTGAAGAAAATAACACTCACCTGTGTACCCACATCTAAAATACATTAACATTTTCCCACATCGACCTCACTTTTTTCTTAAAGATACTTTACAGCTTCAGTTGAAACCCACTCTTGTTGCCATCCTATTCCTCTCCTTTCTTCTGCAGAAGCAAGCACTAAATGGAAGTTGACGTGTATCCTTTCTATTCATGTGTTCAATTTTTAAATTTTATGTATATTTAATGTACAGAGCAATAAAAAGGAATGAAACACTTTTAAAACTTTATTACTCAGTAACAAATTTATATATAAGCGTGTAATATGCATCAATTTGTAGAGTTACGCTTACAGCACTTTAGTTTGTACTTTGGGATCTGCTAAACTTGGTTGTGTGACAGCAGTGCACAGGTCATTTGGTGTGCCAGACAGTGAACACCTACCAAGTTGTCAAAGCACTTACCATTGGTACGATGAGATGGAGCAGAAAGGGTACATAAAAGAGCATTGGGCAGCCACATTTGCAGAGGAAAATTTGTGTCCCTCTTTAGAGAAGACCTAGGAAGTCAAATTAAGGAAGGCATCCCTCAGCCTACCATCTGATGCATTCTCAATAATTGGAGAATAAAACTTTGTAGCTTTAACCTGTTTCAAGCCCTCACAGACACAGTTAAAGCAAAATGATACAAGTTTTTCTGCAAATTTCAGGGTCACAGGGAAGTGGAGATAACTGCCAGTGATGGGACTGTTTTATTTAAGTGGAAAAATGAATCATCATAATCTCCATGTATGGGGGCACTAGAACCAACATTTCATGATTGAACTTGAAAGGGAGTCACTAACAGTAAATGTCTTTTGTGCAGTATGAACCCCCTGGGTCTTCATCAGTTCCTTTTTGCAAAAGATACCGTCAAAGGTATCTTTTTTGGACATGCTTATGCAATGGTTTTTCTTACAGCTGCGGAAAGTCTCTACCAACCCCATTTTCCTTCAGGAAGAGGCTTGGCCTCACTTCCATTAAGCAGTCCAGAGGTTCCTGATGTACACATTTCCTGGTATGGATTGGACACTTGAAAAGATTGATCTGCCTCTGGGACAGAGGCCTCTAGATCTCCCAGATACCCCACCATGTGACTTCTTGCGAGAATGTGTGGAGAAATTCTGTGTTTGTACCACTTCTTGCAGCCTGGGGGGAATACCATTTCAGCTGCAAGCAGTGATATGTTACAAAGGTCTGAAGGAAATGGGCCACAGGAATGATGTGTGCCTCGTGGACAAGACAGGTGTACATTGAGCATTTGTAAGAGTATAGAAATATCTGATGGTTCCTTTACAGGTGGTTTTTTGGCTGCAACGTAGTCATCAAGTAATACATTTTTGAAATCATTCACTTCTATTTATTTGAAATAAAGTTTATTGAGGATATTCTGTATGCAATAAAATATACAGATTTTAAGTTTGGTGACACCTGTAACCACCACCTCAATAAAGATATGAAGCACTTTCGTTTCCCCAGAAGTTTTCCTCATGCCGTTTTCCAGTCGGCACTCCTTTCCCCAGTCACTGCTGATCTGTTTTCTGTCACCATAGGCTATAGGCAAACAACCATTTGCCTATCCTCGAACTTCATGTAAGTGGATCATTTGGCCTTTCCCCTTACGTGTGGCTTCTTTCACTCACCATATTTTTCACTCATCCATGTTGTGGTGTGCAGAGTAGTTGCTTCATTTTTATTCCATTCATTCAATTCTTTTTGAATCACCTAATGTAGTAGTGTTTTATGTTTCTTAAATTTATATAAATGCATTAATACTGTCATACATTTTTGAGATACATGATTCTTTAATTGCCATATATAATATTACATTGTGAGAATATGCCACAGTTTTTTTTAATCTACTTCCTTATTTGTGGACATTTAGATTGTTTTCTCATTTTCCCTCATTTTAAGCAATGCTGCTACAAACGTTTTTGGGCACTTGAGCAAATTCCTCTAAGGTATATACCTAGAAGCAGAATTGCTGATTGTGAGATAGGTGTGTCTTAACTTTAGTAGATATTGCCATATTGCTCTCCAAAGTTGTAGTAACACTTTACCTCATTGCTGGTGGGGTGTAAGAGCTTTCTCTATCTCCAAATCCTCACCAATAGTTGGTATTGCCTAACTTTTAAATTTTTGCCAGTCTGGTGGTTGTGAAATTCTATTTCATCAGTAATTTATTTTGCATTTCCCTGACGACCCTTCTTAGCGATTCATTAAACCTTTAGGTTTCCTCTTAACTACTGGCTCATCTCTTTTGCCCACTTTTTTTTTTTCCGTAGTATTATTTCTTTCTTAGTGATTTTGGGTATTCTTTATGTATTCTGGATATTAATCCCTTGCTGATTATATGTGTTGCTCTTTTTCTAGTCAGTGAATTTATCTTTTAACTTTGATTTTGAGGATTTGTATAAAAATTAACATTTTTTATGTGCTCACGTTTGTCAAATTTTCCCTTATGGTTTGTGTATTTTATATCTTGCTTAAGAAACCCTTGACATTTTAAAGATATTTGATATTCTGAAAATTTCAAAATTTTACTCTTTACATTTAGATCTTTAATCTGGAATTGATTTTTGTGTCAGGTGGGAGGTAGCAATCCAATTTTTTCCCCAATGAATAGTCAGTTGTCCCAAAATAGTCATTAATTCATTCTTTCCCTTTTGTCACTTAGCCAATTTCCTTTATATATGTGTGCATATGTTTCTTGGCGCTCTGTTCTGTATATTGTTTGTTCTTGTGCCTATGTCATATTGTTTTTATTGCTATAAGTTTATAAGTCTTGATATAGCTAGTAAAGATAGCCCCCCTCCTTCTTCAGAACTATCTTGACTCTTCTTAATCCCTTACTGCTCTTTGTGAATTTTAGGGTCAGCTTGTCCACTTTGTAAGAGTCATATAACAATCAAAAAATTGTCTTGAGATATTGTTTCAAACTGCAATGATTTAGAGATTAATTTGGAGAGAACGGGCATCGTTGGTTCTGAGTCTTACTGTCTATGCACATATGTTTCTCTACTTAGGTGTTTTTTTATGTTCAATAAAGTTTTATACATTTCTCTCTCAAGTCCTTTTTTTAAGCAGCTTCATTGAGATATAACTTACATACCATAAAATTCACCCCATTCTAAAGTCTTGCATGTACGTTGTTGGATTTATTATGGAGTACCTTCTGGTTTTTTACTACAAGGTACCTGGTAGTTATTATGAATAGCATCTTTGGTTTCTAAAATTTTTGTTACTGGCGCATAGGAAACTTTTTACCCGTTGTTTTCTTGGTTGGGGCTGGCAGAAAAACATTTTTTAAAGAAATCTGAAAAGGACTGGGACTTTTTATTTTCTGTCATGAACTGGGATAAGAGAGAAACCCTCATTGCAACATATGACGGTAATGAAAAGGAGAGCCGGAAGCCGAGTCCCAGCAGGTTGAAGAAAATCAAAGGGCGGCGAGGAACCCTCCGAATCTGAGATGTGTTCCTCAGCAGAAAGGAGGCTGTGCCCAGTCCCTCCCTCCCCTCCACTCTTGTAATTGGCACCACTCTTTATCCATACATTCATCCATTTACTCGTATGCGTTTTAGTTAAAATATGGAGTTCTCACTCTACACTAGGCACTGCTAGGCATTTGGGATTAAAGATTTTAATTTTTAAAATTAAATTTTACAGAAGAGTGCCATGAGAAAGACACAAAGAAGACTAGTTGGCTAAGCTCTAGACTATCAGAAAAAATGTAACACTTTGCAAAGCTCTTTCACATGTATTTTCGTGCTTAATCTTCATAGCAGTCCTTAACCATTTTTACAGATAATGAAGGTTAAGTAACTTTGAGTAGTAGTGTTTTTGACAAAAAATAAGATTTAACTGTAAAATGATATAAAGTTGTTGCTTATAAATTGCCTCTGATTTCAATTCCTTTTGTGTATAGCTCATAGTAGTTTATATATCAGTCTTCTTTGAGCACCACATAAAGAAGCATTGTATAAAGAGATATCTGTCTCCATGTTTTGTAAAAGAATACTGTGACAAAACCACTAAGAAGGCAGTGACAAAATTCTAAATGCGTGTTTCTTACTCCCAAGACCAAGGCAGCCATCTTAGTTTGTAGGTATCACCTGTATGTTGTTACTTGTTAATGAGAAGTGAAAGCTTCTGATAGGCACTCTGAGAAATTTGTATGGGACAGAAATTGAAGACATAAGGAAATCAGCGATTAAACAGTGACTTAAATTTCTACTCTTAAGATTCACTTTTTTTTTAAAGATTTTATTTTTTCCCTTTTTCTCCCCAAAGCCCCCCCGGTACACAGCCGTATATTCTTCGTTGTGGGTCCTTCTAGTTGTGGCGTGTGGGACGCTGCCTCAGCGTGGTCTGAGGAGCAGTGTCATGGCCGCGCCCAGGATTCGACCCAAGGAAACACTGGGCCGCCTGCAGCGGAGCGCGTGAACTTAACCGCTGGGCCACGGGGCCAGCCCCTTAAGATTTACTTTTTATTTCAGTTTCAAAGATAAGATTCTGGTCACTTGCTCTTTTTACGCCCTTTGAACCACACTGGAGTGTACTAGAAGATTATGGCATTATGCGAGGTTAATAATCTGAAGCTTTTTTCTATTTGCGCTCTAGAATTTGGAGTATGATTCTCATGAAAGCCAGAAAACATTTTTTCTTCACTAGAAAAGTTTCAGAGAGGAAATATTACTCAAACTAAACAAATTTAGTAACTAAAGCTGAAATTGGCATTTCTCTCATGTATGAATAAAAAGTCACTTAATGTTTTCATTTTATTTTAGTCACTGTATGTATGCCTTGTTTCGCGGGTCCACGGGAAGCATGAATCTGTTGGGACTTGGGACAAGAAGAAACAAGACATCTTCACAAGGAATACCAGACAGTAACAAAAAGTATCCCGAAGTCTGAAGAGAGAAAACAAAAACATGACGGACAGAGGACTTAGGGACCCTCCGGAGGGTAAGACTAGTTTGTACAGCACTGAGCTTTGTGCTGTAGAAAACTAGGGCTGTGCTAAGAGAGGAAGCCTCAGACGACTAAAACCTGGAGTTTGGATGTAAAAAAGTTAATTTCATTGATTAATTTGTTATGATGGTTATTTCATATTTACTGGATTTTTACCGTAATTCCAGACCCTAATTATAAGGAAGATTAATATTTTAAAGACTCCAATAATAGGAACCTATAGTCTTGGAAAAATGCAATGCGTCTTAAAAAAACATGGTAGACAAATATTTAGAGTCATATTTTAAAGAAACCAAGAAAATTGTGGTATGCTATATATTTAGAGGAGATCTTTCAATTACAGGGAAAGATGAAATTTAAATTCTTCCTTGTGCTCATATGTATGTATAAGAGAGAGGAAAGAAGCAAAATATGGAGTAGATTTTTCAGAAGAGTAGAAGGGCATGTTTACCTAAATCTTTTATTAAGGATGTTTTTAAATATATAAAAGTAGAACAGAATAACGAATCCCCATGTACTCAGCATTCAGCTTCAACTAATACCTGCATAATGCTGATCTTGTTGCCTGGCTTGGTATTTAAATGCAAATCCAAGACATTATGTCATTTTATTTGTAAATAATTTACGTCTCTTAAAAATAGATTTTTTAAAAAAAATAGCCAAAATAGCATTAGTATACCTAAAAAACAAATTAGTAGTTATCCCTTAATATCATCATATTCAGCCAGTATTCACATTTCCCAAATTGTCTCATAATCGTTTTTTTCTTTACAGATGGACCACACACTGCGTTTGATTGATAGATCTTTTAGGTTGCTCTTTTTTTTTAAGCTTTACCATAGGAAATTTCAAACATGTGAAAGTAGAGAGCAAGATGAAATGAATCCCATTACCCATCAAACAGCTTCATCTGCTCGCAGCATATCGCTAATATTGTTTCATTTATACTCCCTCACTTCTCCTTTCCCCCGTAGCATTTAATTGAAGCAAATTCTAGACATGTAATTTTAGCCACAAGTACTTGAACACTTATCTCTGAAAAACAAGAAAAAAATTTTTTTTAAAACATTATCACAATACCCTTATCTCACCTAAAAGATGAATAATAATTCCTTAGTATCATCAAATATCTGGCGTTCAAATTTCCCTGATTGTCTTATAAATATTTAACAATCGATTTGTTGGACACCAGATCTGAACAGTGTGGTCCACACATTGCGTTTGGTAGATGTGTCTCTTAAGTCTCTCTTGATCAATAGGTCACCCCTCCTTTTTTTCTTTTCTTGCCGTTTGTTTTTATTTCTTGCTGTTACTAAAGGAGCAGTCTTTTGTCCCTTGGAATTTCCCACGTTCTGGGTTTGCCGATTGCATTCCTGAGGCATAATTTAATATATCCGTCTATCCCTGTATTTCTTAGGAACCAGTAGCAGCTCTTGAAGCTTGCTGAGATTCAGGTTCAGTTGTTTGGCAAGAATACTTCCTAGCTGGTATGGGTATGCTTTCTATTCCATTGAATCGGGAGGTTAATGATAGCCGGTTTTCCCTCTTTTTGTAATGCTGAGATTGATCAGAGCATTCAACCGTTGTCAGTCTGGTTCATCTATTATAAGACTCTTTACCAGCCTTTTGCATAATGGTTTTAGTTGCTATTGATGATCATTGCACAGATCCATTATTTCGTTGGGGAAGAGGATGTATTTAAAATAACCAAAAGTTGGTTCTGTTGTTGAAAAGAGTTTTACAATTAGTGTTACTTGTTAGATTTATTAACATGATGATAAATTTGTTTATTCATTAGCATTCATGTTTACTTATTAACTTGATAAATTTGTTAATCAGCTTTAGTGGAAGTCAAAAGAAATAATGTTTAGGAAAATTGCCTTGTAAACCCTAAAAATCTATATAAATATTACTGTTAATCAGGGACCTTGTTAAAATACAAAAATATACGGGAATTTTTTTCAATAAAAATTATAAATTTTTATCTCATTAGACTCTCAAAAGGATTTGGAAAATGACCCATCAATAAATTCTCAGGCACAGGAGACCGCAGTCACAAGTACCACTGAAGAAGCGCAGACCCCAAACCCTGCCTCTGGTCTTAACAAAGATCACCACGAGGTAGAAACAATAGGCCCAGCAGGTGCAGATACAGGTGATCAATCAGAAAGTCCAAAGGAAACAAATGATGGGAAATCTCCAAAGGATAAAACAGAACATGAGAACAACCAGAGTTGTCAGGATGGAGAAGAAAGGCATCCCAGCCCTTCAGAAAATCTGGGTAAGGACCCCTTGGATCCAGAACCCAGCCATTCTCCAGGTGAGAAGGTAGGAAGAGCGGATGCACACGGAGGGAGCGGCCCTGCAGCCCTCGCTGAGGAAGCGAGCGCCAGACCTGGAGCTTCACGGGAGCCATCTGCTGCAGACCCCCAGGATGCCCAGAGTCCTGGTCATTCCAGTGCGGGGCTGGAGAGCCAGGAGACACTGAGGAGGCGAGGGCGAGAGCTGGCGCCAGGTGAGAGAACCCCCTGAACTTCTGTCCTGTTTTGTGTTGCTCTGTTACTGAGAATGGGTCGGGGCCTTCTTTTCAGAGGATTAAGGCCTTTGTGCCTTTCCCAGGGTCATGTAAAGAGAGATGACTGAGTTGAGATTAGAATGAGGTTTCTCATCTTCTAGACTAGCTCATTCCACTATATCAAGTTGCTTTCCACACATTAACTGCATTTTTAAACAGTGTCTTTATTTATTTACTGTTTATATTAATGCAGTCTGATAAAAATGGCCATGACTTTTTAAAATTCACCTCAGGCCTTTAATATATAGCAATTTAATATAACGCAAAAAGCAAACTAAGAGATGAGAAATCTTGTTCTAATCTCAACCCGGCCACATCTCTTTATGTGACTTTATGTAAAGCCCTTAATATCCCAGGACCTTTTGTCATGATAGGTAAGGTAGGGGGCTGGAGTAGGTGATCATTAAAGATCCCGTCAGTCCTTAGATTCAGTGATATATTTTTAAAACCTGCTTTTTGGTGTGATATAACTAAGTGAACTATCCATATAGGTGAAGACGACTCTGCTGCTTTATGTTAACAGAGTATGCTCTTTGAGTTGTTTTTCCAGTGAGGGTTATGGGGAACACTCAGCTTTCACTGTTACGCGGTACCTGGCTGGGGTCAAGTGCACATCTAGACTCTAGAGTGACTTAGCTTGGGGTTCTACAAAACACTGTCCTCCTTTTCACCCACACATTTTAAGATTGATGTCTCAGCCCACACCTCTATTTTTATGCAGTTTATAAATTTCCTTATCCTTATATTTCTTGCCTTTCATACCTCCTTCACTAAGAGGGTCAAACTTGCTTTTGTAAGCTATTTTGCACCTGTAGGGTAGTCTCTCCTGTCCCTACACTTAGAGCCTGTGTTATTTGTACGCCTGGGGTCTTGAGGAGCCACGTGAGACTTGAACACTAAAAGTAAAGCGTCGTTGCCCTGTGATGCTGAGTCTGTGCACAGCCAGCACTTCTTAAATCCCTTCTTCATTTTGTACATTTTGTCGAATCACATTTTAGATAGATTTGGCTGCAATATTACGATGCTTGTTTTTTTGTCTTTGGTGTAAGGGCCAGTGAGGAACCGTGAATGTAGCAAGAATATCCTTAAATGAATTTCACAGCACTTCATTTTATTCTTCTAAGTAGAATAAAAGTGATAGTGAGCCTTAATGAAAAAAGTGAGCTTTGCATGAAAGAAAATTTTACATAGTAAACTCCTCTCAGTCAAATAATGCTTTGGTTTAGTAAGAAGTATAAAGGTATAGTACACACTCGCACTAGAGTGCTGTCTGAAAATAATGTTCCTTGTTTTCCCCAGAGGCTGAAAGTCATCAACAAGAAACACAAAAATTGGAAGAAAATAAAGAGAATGTACATGATACCTTAAGAAAGACTAATAAAAAGGATTTTTGCAACTATGGTGAGAACAAAACTGGTCTTACTGAAGTGTTGATTCACATTCAGAAATCCTCAAAGAAAATACCTAGAAAACTAGCAGATTTAAACAGTATTAACATGTTTTTCAAAAATTTTTGATAGTAAGTAATAGTAAAATAGAGCAATGGAGTTTAAGAGATTTTTCCGTTAGGCGTGCTGGCTGATATTTTGCCATCCTTAACAAAATGGGAATTCCCACAGGAGGAAGAGCTTTTCATAAACAAGAAACTAAAACTGCCTTTTCAATTAGAGAGTATTAACTTCTCAAGTGGCATTTTTACATTTTGACCTTTTAGAAAAAAATGGCCTGTTACAGGTAGTAGGTACTGTGAGAAGGTGGAAGCATATCCTGATAGTTCATTTCTAAATCACATCATTAGTTATAGCAACAAATAAACTTAGTTTTTACTTTTTTTTTTTTTTTTTTTTGCTGAGGAAGATTTGCCCTGAGCTAATGTCTATTGCCAGTCTTCCCCTTTTTGCTTGAGGAAGATTCGCCCTGAGCTAACATCTGTGCCAGTCTTCTTCTATTTTGTATGTGGAATGCCACCACAGCATGGACAAGTGGTGTAAGTCCATGCTTGGGAACCAAACCTGGGCCCCTGAAGCAGAGTGCACTGAATTTAACCATTAGGCCACCTGGCCAGCCCCCTTAGTTTTTACCTTTTTTTCCTTAAAGAAACATTTTATTTTATTTTATTTTTGCTTTTTCTCCCCAAATCCCCCTGGTACATAGTTGTATATTTTAGTTGTGGGTCCTTTTAGGTGTAGCATGTGGGACGCCACCTCAGCATGTCCTGATGAGTGGTGCCATGTCCACACCCAGGATCTGAACCGGTAAAGCCCTGAGTAGCCAAAGCAGAGTGCGCAAACTTAACCATTCGGCCATGGCAGCTTACCTTTTAACAAAGATTTTGTATCTTCAAATAATTAAATCTACGAAATTAGAGCAAAGGTATTTCTGACCGGCTTTAATAGTGGAAAGTTTAAATGATTTAGGCAAAAGAAACCACAACCAGTAAAATCTGACAGTATCTCTACCTCATTTCAGTTTACCACAGGCTTTATTTCTGACTCACATTCTCTCTAATTTTGTCTTGTATTTTCTCATTCTCCGACAGGCTCTATCTTTGTTGGCTTCCTGGTTGTGACTCTTGTTTTGCTAGGTTGTGTTAGTAGCTACTATTCCTCTCCAGCCCAGCAAGTGCCCAATCCAGCTTTGGAGGCCTTCTTGGTTCAGTTCAGCCAATTGAAGGATAAATTTCCAGGCCAGAGTTCCTTTCTGTGGCAGAGAGGACGGAAGTTTCTCCAGAAGCACCTCAATGCTTCACACCACACTGAGCCGGCCACCATCATCCTTACAGCCGCTCGAGAGGGGAGAGAGACCCTGAAGTGCCTGAGCTACCATGTTGCAGATGCCTACACCTCTTCCCAGAAAGTCTCTGCCATTCAGATTGATGGGGCCGGAAGAACCCTGCATGACAGCGACACGGTCAAGCTCCTGGTCGACATGGAGCTGAGCTCTGGGTTCGAGAACGGCCAGAAGGCTGCCGTGGTGCACCGCTTTGAGTCCCTTCCCGCAGGCTCCACCTTGATCTTCTACAAGTATTGTGACCATGAGAACGCTGCCTTTAAAGATGTGGCCCTGGTCCTCACCGTTCTACTAGACGAGGAAACGTTGGAAGCAAGTGTTGGCCTAAGAGAAACAGAAGAAAAAGTGAGAGATTTGCTCTGGGCCAGGTTTACCGATTCTGACACTCCCAGCTCCTTCAACCACATGGACTCAGATAAATTGAGTGGGCTCTGGAGCCGAATTTCACACCTGGTGCTGCCGGTCCAGCCAGTGAGGAGCATAGAGGAGCAGGGGTGCCTTTGAGGAGCTAAGCCTGCAAGTGGTCATGGGAGGCGTGGGTTCCTTGAAGAGTTTGAAAGACTTCCATTTACGTGGAAGGAGATTGATGAATGTGAGGAGAGCACAAACGAGCTTATTTTAGAAAATAATTTTTAATTTTTCACTTTTCACTTTTTGTAAAACCTTTCTAATCTAAGCTTGACAAAGCTAAAAAATTGACCTGATTTTTTTCCCTTGCCTTTTGAGCAAATCAGGTTTGAAATATAGCATGGTATATGTAACTGAGGAATTTTTTTTAAATGCAAAAATATATCTTCCACAGAATCGTTGCACGGGAAGATACTCTTCTCAGAGTAAGTACAGAGTGATTTTTGTTTTCTTGACACTCTGAAGAGCCTTTGGAGAGTGTGGACTTGCACCAAAGCAATTACAGTTATGAAGCTGTGATAATTTTTAGAAAATTTTTCTATCACATGTTAAATATTTTAATAACCTATTGTGGGATTACATCTTATACTAATTTGCACTTTTGAATAGTATGAAAAAAAAGAAACACAAATTCAAATACTTATCTAAAAGCTATCTGTAAGGCACTGTGCTTTTATTCCGTTAATGAGCTGAGGTGGAACTAGCTGTACTCATTGGAAACAATGGGGAAGTTGGTTATAAATGTTGGAAATGAAAAAATTCCAATTGACTGTCTTTACGTCAACTTTCCTGATTGACTTAGAGCAGTGATTTTCAGGCTGTGTCTCCTGGCACCCCTCCACTTTGTATCAGAGCTGTTCTCCTTTGGCTACTTTATATATTAGGAATCTCCATTAAGATTGAATTGGAGCAAGGAATTCCACTGATAATGAAGTTTGAAAACCACCAATTACGTGAAAAAACATCTTAGAAGATAAGAAATGGGTAGAAAAAAATGAATGTATTAAAACTCATGAGTAGGAAGAGAATGAAATGTGTAGAGTTGTTGTATAGACACGCTATTTATGAAAGATAAACAACTACAGGTGAACAGAAGAATGTATAAACTAGTATTCAGTAGCATATTTCTGATGCTTCTGTTAATTTCTGTTAGTCATTTCTGTCTCCCCTGAGTGGAGTTTTTTAGTAGCCTAGGACGAGAGTTTGAGTGACTTTTAAGCAAAAGAGATTCTAATCTCAGTTGAATAGTAGGTTTTATATGGGCAGATTGGCATAACTTTACCAAACTCTTTCTTGTTATGCAGTGATGGAACATTATATAAGGCAGCTTATTTCTTGACCAGCTAGTCCTGTCAGGTTAACAATTAGAGACATGCAAGAGATGTTATGCTTAGAGGAAGTAGAAATGTTAGATAGATTCTCAGAGGTTTTAATGGCCAATATTAATTGTTGGACCATGGTCTGTGATTGTGCTTGAGATTGAGAGCAGTGTTTCTGGAGACAGTCGTCGTTTATTTGCATTTCAGTTCTGAAAGCAGAATTCCAGTAAAATGATCTTGCTCTGTTTAACAAAGGGTCTGTTCCATTACATGATGTACCTAGGAACTATCACCATGATCCTGGCGTGGTTCAGCTAGGTTTCGACCTCTCTGCTGCTATGAGAGTGAGTATGTGTGTATGTATATATTTAAGAAGTCACGTGATTAAAGTATGGAAGGATTTTCAGAAACGCTAAGAAGACGTAGGGATTTTTATTAATACCTCGGAAGGGATCTCAAAGACATGGAGGAAGAATCTATTTGAAAAGATCTGTTCCAGAAAGAATACATAAACCTCTTCTAGCCAAGGCCTCCAGTTGTGCTCAGTTGAGCATAGGGGCATAGCTAAAGGAACTGTTTTCATTTGGGACTCTGAGGGAATTTTCCAAGAGATTTGAGGAAAGACCTGCCTGGACAGAAAGTTAAATCATAGTGAGTATAATATCTGTATCAGTCCAATATAAAATCAGAGGAAATTGAAGAAAAATCTATATAGCATAGATCTCAGATGTTAGCATTACATCACAAAACCAATGGTGCCTTGTAAACTATCCCATCGGCCTGCTGATGCGTGCTACCTCAGATCCATCTGGTCCCCGTCAGCAACTCAGATCACAGTTGAGACAAATACTCTTGTTTCTTCATTCAGTTGAATGTGGTTTTTCATCATTTCCTTTCAATATAATTTAGAAAAATTTCAAAAAGTCACAATTTTTTTTTTTACTGTTTAGCCTTTGTTAAAAACACTTTTCCTTCCATGTCTAAGTGCAATCAACCGAAACTCTTGTCAGTTTTCTGTCCACTATTTCAAAAATCATTTTAAAAAGAAGCAGTATATTAGCTCTGGGTCTTCTGAGGAATAAAATGATAAGTTTTAAAGCATAAAATTATATATTTTTTAAATGTACAAATAATTAAAATCTATTATCTAAATATACCCTTAGCTTAATTTCTATTCAGTTTCTGTTTTTTACATTTTTCAAGTTTTCAGATTTTGTTTTGTGTGTCTGGTAGTTCATCTTTCATTACTGTGATAGGTAATTTGACTTAGAACAATGACTTGTGAGCGTAGGATGCCATACATGATACCCAGACATCACCATTTAATTATTATTGCAGAACTCTCGTTACATTATATATTAATATAAATCCTTTCTTGAGTAATCCCAGGGTTCTGGAAGCAAGTAGGGGAATCAGAAACTGTCTCTGGACTCGAGTTTTTTCCCCTGGAAATTTTAGGTTTCCCAGTTACTTTAGGGTAAACTTTAGGGTTCCTCGTTAGTTTCCATGGCAGAGAAGTTCCAGGGGATTTACGTCACTAAATGTAGTAATGCTGTTGTTTTTATTTCTGTTTTTTAAATCAATAAAATAATTTAAATGTATTTTATTTGAAAGCCTCCAAGCTGAGGTGGTTTTGACCCTTTGATGGTTTTTAATTGTTTGATTTACAATTTTATCTGTTAAAGACACGAAGCATAATGTTCATTGATGTTAAAATATAGCAAACATATCAATTTGGCATGTGAAAGTGACAGTAATGCAGCAAGACGATCTTCACCAGGACTATATTTTCATGTGTCTGACCAAAATTTTTATGCAGCATATACAGGTGTCTAGCACTTCAAAAACTAATGTTAAGTAGAAAATATAAAATATATCCACTTAGGTTACTATTTAATGGGAAGAAAGCGTATGTCCATACACAATTTATTTGTAGAGAAGTACTTTCAAATAGCAACATGAAACCTTTTTCTTTTACCATTTGACAATAAAACACTTATAAAAATAAACAGGTACATCTTTGTAAAGCCCTCATACCATTTTATAAAAGCAGTTTTTAATCTGGTTTTCAAGTTGAATATGTACTTACAAATGTCAGTCTTCATTTTAATATTTTGGCCACCAATCTGAGCATAATATATTTTATTTTAGAATTTGTTGAAAAGTCATGTTGCTTTTGTGTTTTGTTTTTTTCAAAATTAAAGTACCTTGAACACTGTGTATCGCTTGTTCAATGGGAATGTCGTTTGTTTTTATATATGTATTGTGAATATTATCAGTGATTAAAAATCACTTCTTTATCATAATTTATATAAATATGATGAAATGATTATTTAAAAATTTTTCCAAGGGTGTTCATGAGATTATAAAATGCTGAGGTTTATGAGTCATATGGGAAATACTGGTTATCGATAGTAATATATTTGCAAAGAAGACGTCACCCATCCTAGAGAGAACCCCATGAAGTTAAGACAGTCGTGTAAAACTGTTTCTCCAGATGGCTCTAAAATAGGCCTGACTCCTATTCATGTTCAGGTGTAGGTGTTAGGTTGTGAAGTACTTGATAATGGGGGCCTAAATGTGCCTCATTCAGACTGAGACTTGGCTATTAAACTCATTTCCAACTAATACACTGCCCTCTCCCTTCTGTATCTATACGCATTGCTTCTCAAGCTGTTTTTAGAAACATAGATAAACTAGGGAAGGGCACTAGCCTTATCCAAATGGCCTAAGAACACAATTAGCATCCCCTAATCTGTAAATAATCTGTAAAGATATAAATAATTGTCTTCCATGCCTTTCCTCCCAGTAGAACCTGCGGTGTCTATTTCACTTGTTTTGATGTCTTTAAAAATCCATAGATTGATTCCTATATTGGGAAATAACCTCCCACTTTTCCTCCTTGAGGCTCGTAAACTAAATTTGCCCTTGGCTAGGAGCACTTACCTGAACCAAAAAGAACGTTTGTGCTCAGGAAGCAGCCAGCTTAGTAACCTTGTGGTCGGGTAGAGCTGGCAGGAGGATGTTGTGCTTGTCACGACTGGTCCACAGAAGTCACAGCCCTCCGCCCTGTGTCCAAAGTGGGCCTCAGCATTGTCAACACGAGCTCCAGGCCTCTGCTCCCAGCTGATCAGATGATGAGAGATTTAAATCTGTTTGCCATCCCCATCATAAAACAAAGCAGCAGCCCATTGACTTTTAAACCCAACCGCATTTTGTTTTTTTCCTACTTAACAAAAAATAAGTGGACTTTTCCAGTATTAATGTCAGATTTCTTGGCATTCCCTTTTTCCTTATGTAACCACGATGTCTTTTGATTTCTTATGGATTTTGAAGAATGTGCCTTTTTCAAATTAGTTGTCTGGTTATTACCAAAAATAAATCTCCTTCATTTTTCTCGGTTGTCTGATTCTTGATTAAAGTTCCAAAACAGCAAGTTTATAGAAATGGGCCTGTGGTCATTAATGGTGGGAAAGGAAACTGCTCTTGGTTGGCAGTGAGTTCAAGAGCCTAGGAACCCCGTGAGGGTCAGGCGGCCATTTGCAGAGTGAACCGGCGCAGGCACTGCCTGGAACCCACCGCAGTGCTCATTTAGCATTCTTCGTGTGCTATTCCCACTTAAGGAGGCTTTCTGAGTAGGAGAGAGAGTGGGGTTATAAGTAGAGCCCTGGGAATTGCACTTAGCCCGGCGTGTGCTGACTGGGAATGTGTTTCTTAAGTGTGGACATCATTCAGTTGTGTGTTGGGATGGGAGAGGCCAAGAGTGTGTTAAGAATTTCTGCCTTATAATGTTGTCAAACCAGAATGAGCAGAAGTACCTGAATACAATCCCAGCCCCTCACCCACCCTTCTCCCAGCTTTCTGCCCCCACATTCCACACCTAACTGAAAACAACGTCTGTTCACATTTTACAAAATAGTTTTCTACCAAATCTGAATTCGACTTTGAAAGTCTAAAAAACTTAATCTTGCAGCTTAGAAAAATAGAAACGCTCAGGAGCCAGCATATCTTAAAATCTGTGCTTTCAGTGAAATGGGCTAAAGTCTAAGGATAAGATGAGCCCGAAGGGAAAGAACATAGAATTTCCCAATATTTATTCCAAAAGTCCACAGCAGGTTTGCAACAACATTATTTTTTTAATACGTCAACTCACCACTAGAGGATGTCACGTACTTCTCCAGGTACAGTGGGACAGACTGAGGCCTTAAGACTGTGAATACTGATTAATAAGGAAGAGAGGTGATGTGGATTACTGTAGGAGTTGTAATTTAAACAGGGTGCACTAAAAATTATGTCAGGTCTGAAGTTGCAATCTGGGTCATGGAATATTTGATACAGAAGCTGGTAAAGATTCTTTGCTCGATCAAACTTCAGGCTCCTGAACCTTCTAGGCCCCTCAGTGCCCTTCCTTGTAAAACTCAGTTTTAGAAAGAACCCTGCTAAGTCGGTGTAACCAGAACCTGCTCCCTCCATATCCCATCACTCTGGATATCTGATCAGGTCCCCCATCCTCCAGCATCCCTCAGGTGAGGTCTGATCACCCTGGCTGTCTTCAGCAAGAATCCTGTGTGAGTTGAGCCAAAACCCTACTTATCCCTGATGTTTTCTCTCAGTAGTTTTCCATCCACTGACCCCCACCCTGCTCCTGGGCTGTAAATTCCCACTTGCCCATGCTGTACTTGGTGTTGAACCCAATCTCTCTCCCATACTGTAAAATCCCATTGCAGTGGTCCCTACACCTATCACGAGGGTCCTGGATAAAGTCAGCCTTCCCGTCTGTAACAAGTGCCATTGAATATTTTTTCTTTAACAAAGCAGCTTCGTCAAGCTAAACTAAGATAGGATCTTAGCTACTGAGTGAAGAGCTTCACTACTTTAAGAAAAGGAAACAGAGTAAGCAGATCCTGTTTTGTGTACGTGCAGGGACTGCTTTACTGAGGAATCCTCCCACGTGGTGTATGATTTTAGGGCCTGCAGAAAGCCGCTGGGCACACATGCACTGAAGAGAAGACACGTAAACTGTCTTTTTTGACCTGGAGCCTGACACTTTCTATGATCCCTAATTTTCTAATATACAAATCAATATTTAAGATGAACCAACAATTCAGTAAGCCTTTTATTATCGTATTACCTGAGATGTCATTTTAAGTTCTCACTTTAAGTTGGCGTCCTTCTGTAACTCCAAACACATAACAATAATAGATAAAATATTTCAAGGGAAATTTAAAAAGACAGAGCCAGGCTCAAAAACAAGAGCTGCATCTTCAAGAATCAGAAAAAGAATAGAAACAAAGTGGTAAGTGGGGCTGAAGCCACAGGCCTACTGGATCCTACATCCAGTCAGGCAAGGCTGCTGGGCACCTGGAACTGAGTTCTCCATGTGAGCTATACCAGTTTGGTTGTGTAAGCAAGATGGCTTGTTGGCAAGCCCCACAGTATTGGTATTGTTATCTGCAAATGTTCAGTAACTCTTTTGTGTCAAGCAGGCTTTTAAAAAACATCTTCTTCTGGGGCCCACCTGGTAGTGCAGCGGTTAAGTTTGCGGGCTCCACTGGGCGGCCCAGGGTTCGCCAGTTCACATCCCAGGTGCAGACCTATGCACTGCTTGTCAAGCCATGCTGCGGCAGGCGTCCCACATATAAAATAGAGGAAGATGGGCATGGATGTTAGCTCAGGGCCAATCTTCCTCAGCAAAAAGATGATTGGCAGCGGATGTTAGCTCAGGGCTGGTCTTCCTTGGGGGGAAAAAAAATCTTGTTTGAGTGCCTTGTCTAAGTATGCTACGAGTCAGTTTCATAATTTCTTATATGTCATGTAGTTTGTCTTTGGCTGAAGAAGGTTAATTTGAATGTGCTCCACTGTCCTTCTGCTTATATCCAGTAATTCTGTTACATGATGTGGGGCTATAATTACTCACCAAACACAATTCTGAGCCATGTGAACAAACATCGTGTACTCCTGGTTATTGAGTCGCCATGTTGATTCTATCATCGATGACAACTGCATCGCAATTTTCCATTCTCTATATATTTCTTCAATCAGATTTTTACTATATTGCTTCCTGAGTGAAACCCAGAAATTTCTCAGAAAGCAAGGAAAGCAGAAGCCTAGATGAATTCATCATTAATCCACTGTGCTGTCAAAACCACTAACGATTGTTCTCCTATGACCAAATGTCCCTTTGTACGTGATACTGAATATTATTTATAATAAGAGCATTTATATTGCACTTTTCTGCATACTCTATTCTTCCTTATATCTGACACATAGAAGTCCTTATACATAATTTTGGAATTATTTCCTCCTCATGAAATTTTGAGGTGGCAGAGTTTTGATATCCTATTTTTAACGTATCTTTACAAGATGTGAAAAATTTCTAATAGGACTCTTTAAAAAAAGACTCATGGCCTAAATGGAAATAAATACCTAAACGTTAAATGCCATTTTAAAAGACTATTTTGTTAAGTAATAGTAAATAATCATAGGAAGATTAAAATTATGATATCTAATCTATCTGCTTTGTATTATTTACGTTTTCCCCAGCTTTATTGAGGTATAATTAACAAATAGAATTGTACATGTTTAAAGTGTACAATGTGATGATTTGATATGCATATATATTGTGAAATGATCATCACAATCAAGTTAATAACATACCCATCACCTTTCATAGGTACCTTTTTTTGTGAGGTGAGAACACATAATCTACTCTTTTAGCAAATTTCAAGTATACAATACAGTATTATTAACTGTAGTCACCATCCTGTACATTAGATCCCCAGAACTTACTCATAACTGAAAGTTTGTACCCTTTGACCAGCATCTCATTATTATTATTATTATTTCTTTTTTTTTTGCTGAGGAAAAGCTAACATCCATGTCAGTCTTCCTCTACTTTTCAGTATGTGGGCCACCAGCAGAGCATGACCACTAACAAAGTGGGGTAGGTCCCGGCCCAGGAACTGAACCCAGGCCACCAAAGTGGAGCACGCCAGACTTAACCACTAGGCCACTGGGCCAGCCCCAAATTTACCATTCTTAAAATATTGAAAAGTGGAATGAGCACTGGTTCCCTTGCTGTGTGGTGATGCTGATGAATATAAGGTGACCCAGTGCTGTGAGTGTCCTGTGGTGCAAGGTAGTCTCACCGAGCACCGCCTGCCTGGTTTGATTATCCTCTCCTCGACCGCCATCTTCAGCCGCCCGGACGAGGTGTGCCAAATTCCACATTCTCCTCCTCCTCAGAGCTGCCGAGGGCTGGCCATGTGATCTGGCCTCATGGCGAGGCGATGCACTGACCAGGCTTTGGCTCTGTTGGCCATGTGGGTACAGACACAAATGCACACATGACCAAGGTCGGTTACATTTGGTCCAGCACCTGTAAACGTACTTTCTTGTAGAATAACAAAGCTGTGATGAGTCCTTCATCCTCTGTCTGCATCTTACCCATCCTGTAGCCACCCCTGGGTTTCCTTGGTTAGTCCTGTGTGGCTCCAGTATCTAAGAAACTATCACTCCAGTGGAATTAGAACCCTTTTTATTTTATTTTATTTTATTGGTGAGGAAGATTGGCCCTGAGCCAACATCCATTCCAATCTTCCTCAATTTTGAATATGGAACGCTGCCACAGCATGGCTTGATGAGCAATGTGTAGGTCCATGCCTGGGAGCTGAACCTGTGAGCCCCACGACGCCAACGCGGAGAGTGCAAACTTAACTACTATACTACCAGTCTGGCCCCTGTTTTTATTTATTTATTTTTTTGAGGAAGATTATCCCTGAGCTAACATCTGCTGCCAATCCTCCTCTTTTTGCTGAGGAAGAGTGGCCCTGAGCTAACATGAGTGCCTATCTTCCTCCACTTTATATGTGGGACGCCTACCACAGCATGGCATGCCAAGTGGTGCTATGTCCGCACCTGGGATCCGGACCGTCGAACCCTGGGCCACTGAAGCAGAACGTGCGAACTTAACCGCTGCGCCACCCGCCTGTCCCCCTTTTTATTTTTTAAGAGCCTTCTGCTTAGGTGTTTTCTGTAGCTCAGTCCTCCTCTTCCTCTTAGCATAGAAGCAGCAGGAGCTTGCATTTTCTGAGAGGAACGAGAAGACGAAGTCAAACCTTTGCCCTTGAATCTTTGCAGGTGATTGACCCCATAATAGTTGTCAAACACCAGTGGGTCACACTCTGCCAGGGCTGGCTTTGCCCTGTAATGACATCGTAGACTCCAGGATTGTCTGATTATCCTTCAGAATTGGATGCTTTTTTCCCTGTCAGAGGGTTTCTGTGGTCATGCATCGAGGTGGGCGTGGACGTAATGACCTCTGACAGTCTTCCAGCCCTTGGACCCTATGATCCTAACGGCCAGGATCAAGTCTTAGAGTCTATCTTCTTTCCTCT